CAGTGCCCTGCGTAAGTCTGAGCTCCCTGTTGTGAGAGTGGCACGGACGAAGGACTCGTACTTAACACAGGAATACCAAGGTACACTGGGAAGCATATCTCAGAGGAAATAAGCAAATAGTGGCTGCCCAAAGGGGGGACTTATAGAATACACATATGACCGGGATGGGGGTTGCATACGGAGAACACTGGGGTGTCCAGTCCGAAGGGTGGAATATTTCAACCCCAGGGGAGCAAGGTGGCTTGCCAAGGGAAAGACACATGCTCAGAGAGGCTTACAGTGGAAATACTCATGTGGGGGTCGCTCAGAGGGGGGACCATGTGTTGCCGGCGCCGTCTGCACTTCGCCGACTACTGCGTTGTGTTCTGGTGCACTGATGACAAGACGCTGACGTTCCTCAAGACACTTTATTCTGCACACTGCACAATTCCAAAGAGAGCAAAAGATCAGGGTTCTTTCCATCAGAATCAGCCTCTCTCAGTCAAATAGACTGCAGACTCAGCATTTGATCACATTCAAAAATCAGAAAATAAAATAAAGAAAAATAATTATAGAAAATAAACATATTGCATGTCATTTCTGTTATTGACTAAGGGCTTTTAGCTTTTATAACATGAAAGAAACCATCCTCTTTCCAATAATACATACAGTAATATGCACAAAGCAAAATGTACATACTTTACATCTAGGCTGTTCAGTGCCATTGAACATCAATCAACACAAGAAAACTTTAAATGAACCAGTTAGGAACACATTAGGCCTATACTCTAAACCTGGTATTGGAAGTACATACCTGCACAATTCCAAAGAGAGCAAAAGATCAGGATTCTATCCATCAGAATCAGCCTAACATAAGAAAAAGAACAACTGAAACATGTAGGCTACATCAAAAGAGGATAGAATAGTGAGCGCTAGCTACAGCAAAACAAAACACGAGGTTAGCTATGTCAGCAATTTATTATGCTCTCAAAACAGAAAAGTTCTCAACTCATCTCAAATAAATGTATGTGCACTCATCATAAAATACACGTACAAATTACCATGTGCACTAAAACTAAAGTTACAACAGGTAAATGTCAAGTTTACATTGCACTGATGTAAATACGTACCTCTCTGTCAAATAGACTGCAGACTGAGAAAAGAACACGAAAATTCAGTATATAGCCAACACTCTAGCCTCTATCCAATAGACTATCCAATAACAGACAAAGAGCTGGTCCGAGGTCCTCAAACACTGAGTTCTGTCTACATAGGCGCGGAGAGCACGTACTGGACAGAGCAGTGCCAGGACTGGGTCTGCCTCCTCCAGGCAGCGCTTGCAGGTTCACCACCTGGTCCCGGAAAGGAGTGGTGGGAACCTTGGGCACATATCCAGGCCGGGGGTCTCAGGATCACATGAGAGTAGGCCGGCCCGAACTCCAGGCATGCTTCGTCAATGGAGAATACGTGCAGGTCCCCTACCCTCTTGATGGAGGCCAGTGCAACCAGTAGAGCTGTCTTCATTGACAGGAAGTTAAGCTCCACTGATTGCAGAGGCTCAAAGGGAGCACTCTGCAGGGCAGTTAGAACCACTGAGAGGTCCCAAGAGGGAACGAGGAGGGCAAGGAGGATTTAGTCTCCTCACTCCTCTCAGGAACCTGACGATCAGGTCGTGCTTTCCCAAGGACTTACTTTCGCCTGCGTCATGATGTGCGGCGATAGCGGCAACATACACTTTCAGGGTGGAGGGAGACAGCCTTCGCTCCAACCCATCTTGCAGGAAGGAAAGCACGGCACTAATCGAGCATCTACGGGGGTCTTCTCGGCGAGAAGAGCACCAGTTGACGAAGAGGATCCACTACCTACCTTCGAACCTGGACACGCTGATCGGATAACATTCCGATCAGAAGCGCGTTTAGACTTGTCTTTTCAATGTCTATGTGGACAACATCCGGATACAGGTCGCATGTTAATGCCAAGTGTAAACGCAGCCTCTGACGGCAGGTCGGAGTAACTGGTGCTCGGAGCGTCAATTTAAGGCTATTGGCAGTATTTTCTGATTTACAGGGTAACAAAAAGAAATATTCATAATCCCCTCAGGTGATGTCTTATATCAACAAAATGCTAAAATAATTTTGAACCTTGTTTTTTTCAATGGTCAGATTCGTCACTTCAAAATATATGCAAATTAGTGCATATTTAATTAGTTATAGTCTGATTAGCATATTTCAACAAAATTACAGAAAACTTGCAATACATTTTTTTCTCCTATTCATGCGAGTAATCAACTGGTAAAGTTTCATGGTGATATCTGTAAGTTAAAAATTTTACCTATTCACCTGTAGTGTCTCGACTTAAAGAGCCAAAAATTGGCGGCCATCTTGAATTTAAAGGTCAAAAATAGGTCAAATCAATAAATCTACATAATTTATTAATTTTGTGACCCAAATAGTCTCAGAAACCATGTATTATGCAGCACTGTGGGCAAAACCATTAAAAAGTACATTTCCAGCTGGGCTGACGGCAGCCATTTTGGATATAGGGCTCTCACAAAATTTCCCCACATTTTTGTGAGGGGCACCCCGGCTAAATTTTTTCTTTAACCTTTATAGATGACAAATTCAGTGAGAAACGAACCTTCGCTCTCCACGGTCACAGAACTGCTATAGATGACCCAACTAATAGGACAATGGTGGTTTTTGCGCGAGGTGAATAGATCTACGGTTGCCTGTACGAATCTCATCCATAACAAATCCACTATCTGCGCGTGAAGGCGCCAATCTCCGTAGATTGGGTTCTCAGAAGTCCCAGCGGCACAACCTGGATGGATGAAGTCATGAGACCCTGCCGCCTGAGGCATGTGCGATATTGCACTTACTCTATAACGATATTGCCCCCTCTCTGAACTGCGACAGACAGCTCATTAGAGAGCGAACGCACTCTTGAGAGAGACGCGCTTGCATGGAGACTGAGTTCAACTCCAAGCCCAGGAAAATTACATTCTGACTGGGTATAAAATTGCTCTTGCTCACATTCACCCTGAAACCGAGGGATGTGATGTGCACGAGCACACGGCAGGTGTCTTGCAACACTTTCTCCTTCGATTTGGCTATTATTAGCCAATCGTCTATGTATGTCAAAATCCTGAGACCTGACATTCTCATGGGTGCCAAGCCCGCCTCTGCACACAGACAAAAACACAGAGGACTCAGGGCAAGTCCAAACGGCAGAACTGTGAATTTGTAATAAGTGCCCTGGTAGGTGAAACGAAGAAACTTCCTGTGTGGCGGATAAATGCTTATGCGGAAGAAAGCATCTTTCAGATCGACCAAAGTGAACCAGTCGTTCTGTTTTATGGCGCGGTCGAGCGAGCCATGAGTTAACATTCTGAAATTGTATTTCCTCAAATGTTTGTTCAACACACGGAGATCCAAAATCGCCCTATCTTGGGAGCCGTCCTTCTTTGGGACCAGGAAATACTGAGAATAAAATCCCTGATTCATCAGATTGGGGGGCACCAACTGAATCGCTCCCTTGTTTAGGAGGGAGGATATTTCCTTTTTCAGAATGTGTGCGGCGCTTTCTTCCGTGTGTGAAGAGAGAACGCCGTTGAAATGCTGGGGTTTCATAGCAAACTGAAGTCTGTAACCCTGCATTATTGTACGCATAACCCTCTAACTCTCATAACATAACTCTCGTCCTCCTCGTCGGCGGAACCGGCCGGTTCGGTGACGAGATTGAGGTTGCCTGCGAAGATGTCCTCTTCGGGGAATGCAGGATTGGGCTGGTCAGCCCAAATAAGTGAAGTGGCGCCCCGGGAGTCCCCCGGTAGAGCGTCGTCGTCACCGTGTTCCCCATCCGAGTCCGAAAGGCCGAGTTCGGCACACTGAGTCGCAGCAACTTTCAGACGGCGTCGTAAAAGCTTCCTAGGCAGCATAAGGCAATGACTGCAATTCTCCGGGTTCTCCAGGGCTTCTTGGCCATGTTTGAGGCCCAAGCAGACCACGCAGAACGAGTGCAGGTCCTTCGCAGCGATGAGAGCACCACACGCGGCCGGGCAGGCCCGTGATAGGCTGTTCCCTGGAGAAGCAGCAGGTTTAGACAGTGACATGTCGGCGAAGAACTCGGAAAAATCCGTGGCGGGCAGCCGAGGCAGCAGGGGAAGGTGAGAACGGCGAGAGCGCGGGCGGCTCCAGATGCAGAACACAGCTGAAAACAAGATGGGCTGAAAAACAACTGTCACGTCTGTCGGAGGCTGATCAGGCGATATGTTCTCCTGAAGACACGCAAGTGAGCAGTGAAATCCAACCGAACTGTGTAATAGCAGAGACCGCGAGAAGAATCAACTGGAGAATAGCAGCGCCTGCAGCCGTTATATGCCTTAGGTAAGGGGACGGGGCCTTACCTGGCATTGGCTGTGCGCTTCTGTCTGTCTAGCCAGACTTGGTGCAATTGGATGCTTCTGCAGAGGTCAGGTACGGATGCCCTTCCCATAGGTGGATCTCGAACACGAGATGATAAAAGAGAACCCCATCTATGGAAAAGCCTGACCGAGTGGGACTCTTGTCTGGTTCCTCACGCGGTCAGATTCTCTTTTACTTTTCCTAGTCTCTTCCGACCGCGTTTTCTTTGCTTTTTCCATCGTCGAGTATCACGTCTGAATTGAAATGCACGCAAGTGTCTTCATGCTTCATATGACGTCGTTGCCGTAAAGCATGTCGTGATTCTCGCGAGATTTGTCAGGGGCGCTCCTCTCAAACTTGCATTGCTGTTTTTTCCAGCGGCGTCCCCCCTAAGTTTTACCACCAGGATAATTTGCCCTACTATGAGTTTGTTTACCACCGAAATGACTTTGAAGCTGTTATATTAAGGTACAATTCTTGCATAGTGTGCCTTTAAACACATATCTAGTTTACTACTGAGTTTACTAGTAACTACTTGTTTTCGATCCATTGTTGTTTTTCAGTTTTCATCTTAATGTTCCTCATCAGTCATTAAAGAGAATGAAGAAAAACACCAACCTATTTGTTCCTCTGTATCTTCATCTTTTATTCTGCAGGGTTCTTCCTTAATCTCCATCTTTACAATAGTATGTCCGTAGTTTCTCCTGGAGTAATTCCTCCTGCTTGCTTCTTCTTCTTCTCCTGTGGGAAGATGGGAATATTCCCCAGCATTTAAACTCTCATGAACGGCTGTGGGAGCTTCACTGACTGAAGGAGTGAATTGCTCATTTAGCAGATGATCATCACACTTACAATCACTCCAAATTATTCAGGTGCAAATGTTTTGCTCAAATAGTCGTTTAGAAACAATTCCATGATTTTTTTGAGACATCAGGACATCAGGTCTTTTAAGTTTAAATGAAAAATAAATTTATTAGATAAATAAATAGAAATAAAAAACTTAAAAAAAAACTAATAATAACATATACTATATGTGCAAATATTTAAATCCACAAGCATACATAATGCAAACCAATGACAGTTAGAAGAGAAAATAGAATAGATTGTGACTATATTGAATTTCAATAGAACGTCAATCTTGACAATTAATTGAAACAAGTTTGCACATAGTTTATAATATAACTGTTATGGAACAGAGACTCAAGACAGAAGGTGATGGTGAAATAAACGTATTTATTTAAACAGATGAATGGTAAGTGATAAAGGTAGATGAGAAGGTATATAGACTGGATGGCAGATGATGATTATACTGACGAGAAAGTCCTTACAGATGATGAGAGGGGTTGTGGATGTAGTGGAGAGGTCGCTGGAGCTGGTGGAGAGGAATGGAGAGATCGCTGGAGTCGATGGAGAGGAATGGATGACACAGGTAGGTAGATCGATGGGTATAACTTCAAGGACCATGTAGGAGAGCATGGGTTTGAGTCTTTACTCTAGAAACGAGACCAGACAATGAGGCCTTGTCCACACGGACATGGGTATTTTTATAACCGGAGTTTTTCCTACAGCGTTTTGAAAAAAAATCCCGTCCACACATGCTCGGTCTCCGTCTACATGAAAACGCAAAAACACGCTATCAAGCGCGGTCAAGAGCATGCCACGCCAGCAGGCGGCGATATAAACCTTAACCGTAAAGCCACGTTGGCCAATCAGAAGCGCAAATCGGACGTCAAACACAGCGGATAACGGCGCACACTCTGACGTCGCAAGGCAAAAACCCCGGTTTCACTGTCTACACGACAACACTGTAACCGGCGTTTCTGAAAATCCTCACCCTGGCAGGGTTTTCAAAAATGTTCGGTTTCAGTGCGTTTTCGTGTGGACGAACGGCCGAACCGCGTACAAAAAGTCACGGTTAGAAAAATACCCGTGTCCGTGTGGACAGGGCCTGAGACTGTGGGTGACGAGTGCTTTTGTGCAGACTGTGATGAGGATCTGATGACGTACAGGTGCGGGGTGATTAGAACTCAGTGACAGCGATCTCTGTGATTGTGTGGTGGTGGAGCCTGGCTGATCTCTGACAATAACATAAATGCTACTGTAGTTTAATATAACAATATTAACTAAACTTTAAAAAAGGATGTAATGATTCAATTAGCTCCCCAGTACTTGAGCGAGCACTTAATGCATCATAGTCCTTCACGTCTATTGCGATCTCCAAATTCTGGCCAGTTGATAATACCTAGAATATCAAAATCGACTGCAGGCGGTAGATCCTTTTCCTATTTAGCACCAAAACTCTGGAACAATCCTAACATTGTCCGGGGAAGCAAGAAGAATGGCATCTACGCTAATGTTAGTCTTTCTGTTTTTTTTTTCGAGGTTTACTGTCATCAGCCGGATCCGGGCCGTATCCAGATCAGATGGTGGACCTGCACCTAGACACGACCACAACGCATCCCTGAAGTGTCAGCAGAGATTGCCAACTAGACTCTCCCCTGTGAAGGCCTCATCAACACGACAGCCACCGGCACTGATCCTCAACAAACTCCTTTCCTTACCGGCATGACTCCGATCTTAAACCAGATGGAACTGGATAATATTCTGAATGTTCTGACCTGTAATGCTGCCTGAATCATAATCATACACTGTTCATACATTGGCCAGAGGAGAACTGAGCGACTGAGTCTGATTTCTCCCAATATTTTTTCTCCACTCTATCACTGATGGAGTTTGGGTTCTTTGACACTGTTGCCTTTAGCTTGCTTATTTGGGGACATTGCATTGAATATTAAACAATATTATTGATCTGCCTGCATTGACACCATTATACGAGAACTGAACTGAGCTGAACGATGACGTCAGTGTTTTCTCCAGAGCGGCTATATATATAAATGAACTAGATTAGTAACTTTTGTACAACAAACCATCACTGAACTTACATAAGCTAGACTGTGTTGCTTTTTTCTTCAGGAAACAAACTTTATTGCAATATTTTCATGTTATCTCTGTAAAGCTTCTTTGAAAAAAGCGCTATAGCTATAAATAAAAGTGACTTGACTACAACGAGCTTCTTCATGGGTTGATGACATCACTAACCCTCAAATTTACACAAACCCCGCCCCGGGAACACTCAATAAAGGGCGTGAGGCCATGTTGGGCTGCTTTAGAGAAGAGAAAGAGTTGTTGTAGTAAAGCACAGTTGTGATTCTGCTCAAGCCGTCTAACCCTACTTTTCACATTTATTGCAATACTGTACGTCACACAAATGCAATAGCATGTCACAGGGGTGTAGTACCCAATGGGGCCTGGGTACAAACCATCTTGCTGGGGGGGGGGGGGGGGGGTGGAGACGGACTTTTGACTTGAGCTCGGTGACTTCTAAGGGCCCCCGCCCTGCGACTTCTAAGGGAATTTAGAAGTTTAAAGGGACACACACAAAACAGCGCTTTTTGCTCACCCTCATAAAGTGACAATTTTAACATGCTATAAAAAAGGATCTGTTGGGTATTTTGAGCTACAACTTCACATACACAATCTGATATGTCAGAGATTTTACATCTGGTAAAAAGGGACATTATAGGACACCTTAAAGTAAAAACAGAAAGAAAAAAAATGAATCTCACCAGTTCACCAGAAAAAACTTTAGAAATATTTTAATGCAAAACAAGTGTTTGATGTTCAGTAAAGTTGAATCATATCATTATAAATCATGTTACAGTGGTTGAGAAAAGAGAAGGCCAATTCTTGATCAAACTATCACCAGATTCAAACTTCACTACTAATTTAACCCTTAGATTTAATCACGCTATTAAAACAATCTGAGTGTCAATTTATTTGTAAGTACAATATTTGTAAATCATGGACGTGAATGTGAACTTTGCTCACTTACACGACTTCGGGAAATGCTTCCTCTCATGATATCATAGACTAGATGATTCGGTGAATCTCTTTCCACAGTGTGAACACTTGTTTTCGGTTTCTCTCCAGTGTGAACTCTGGTGTTTTTTTAAGTGGGTGGATGTAGTGAAGGTCTTCCCACAGTCAGAGCACACATAAGGTCTCACACCAGTATGAATACGCTCATGCTCTTTTAAAGGCTGTAGTCGTAAAAAACTTTTTCCACAAAAAGAACAAAAGTGAGACTTCACACCAGTATGAACTATAAGGTGTTTTCTTAAGTTTGATAACACAACAAATGTTTTATCACACTGATCACAGCTGAATGATCTCAATCCAGAGTGACGGCGCAGATGATCTCTGAGATTACTGCTCTGAGTGAAACTCTTTCCACACTGAGAGCATGTGAACGGTTTTTCTCCAGTGTGAATTCTCTTGTGTCTCTCAAGGCCTGATTTTTGTGTGCAAGTCTTTCCACACTCAGAGCAGGTGAAAGATCCTTCTCCAGTTTTTCGAGCTCGTTTTTGTGTGAAACACTTTTCGGTCTGTTGAATGACTGTGTTTACATATTCATTTTTGAAATGCTGAGGTTTTTGAAACTGATGTTGTTTGTCTTCGTTCATTTCCATCGGGTCTAAAATCAAAACATCAAGTTTTCAAAAATTCAAATAAAGAAATTACAACAATAAATACACTAATTTAGTCACAATAAAGCAAAACATTTAGTCCTTTTTTTCAGTTTTCATCTTAATGTTCCTCATCAGTCATTAAAGAGAATGAAGGAAAACACCAACCTATTTGTTCCTCTGTATCTTCATCTTTTATTCTGCAGGGTTCTTCCTTAATCTCCATCTTTACAATAGTATGTCCGTAGTTTCTCCTGGAGTAATTCCTCCTGCTTGCTTCTTCTTCTCCTGTGGGAAGATGGGAATATTCCCCAGCATTTAAACTCTCATGAACGGCTGTGGGAGCTTCACTGACTGAAGGAGTGAATTGTGGTCGTTGTTGCTCATTTAGCAGATGATCATCACACTTACAATCACTCGAGATTATTCAGGTGTAAATGTTTTCCCATGATATTTTTGAGACATCAGGACACAATATATGAAACAACAAACTTCAACAAAAAACTTCAACAAAAAAAATCATGTATTTTAAGTTTAAATGAAAAATAAATGTATTAGACAAATTATTAGATAAATTATTAGATAGATAAATAGAAAAAAAAACTATAAATAACATAAGTGCACATATTAAATCAACAAGCATACATAATGCAAACCAATGACAGAAATAAACTAATTTAGAAGAGAAAATAGAATAGATTGTGACTATATTGTATTTCAATAAAACGTCAATCTTGACAATTAATTGAAACTAGTTTGTTCATAATATAACAGTTTAAAGTTCAATACAAAGTTTAATATAACAATAGTAACTAAACTTTCTTTAAACCTATATATATATATTTGTATGCTGTGTTATTTTATCCCTAGTTTATGTTTAGACATTTTTTTTAATGTTTTTAGTGATATGCTCTTTGCACCACAAAAGGATGGCTATCCAATTTGGTTGGTCTTGTGACTGTGACAATAATTATGATTCTTAAATCAACTCCCAACCACTGTTCTTTTCCCCCTATTGTTGTAGACACCATCAACGGAGGAAGAATGGTGGTCAATATCTCAGGATTTTGCTAGGAAATGGCAGTTTCCACATTGGCTTGGGGCACTCGATGGAAAGCATATTCACATACAGCCTCCAACAAAAAAAGTGCCAGTCTTTACCACAACTACAAGGGCACCTATGCAAGTGTGGGTACCCAAGGTACGCTTGTCTGAAGTATAAAATCATTGGTTACCCGTAAGCCAATCACATAACGTTTGGTTATGACGTGTGTTATGCACCCAGCTCAGCCGCATCGAACTTCCACTGTAAACACATGTATGATGCGAAAACGAAACCATCGAGCGAAATACCGGAGTGAACATGGCTGTGAACGACTTTTGCAGATTATGTGAAGTAAATCTACGCATCCACAGTACAATCAGGGCCTCTAAACTAATATTTGACAGTAGAGAGAAACAAGAAAATATTTGCAGCCAACTCAAAATTAGGATTAGTTCTGTCAAACACAGCTCTTTGTTCATCTCGAGTCTGTCGGAAATGCTGCAACTTATTTGCAAGATTACAGCATGACATGGCAATATTTAAGACCTGGAAAAGAAAGGAGACACTGACCTGTCAAAAGGGTGCCAGTTCGAGCTCGACAGATAAAAGAGACAGAGAAAAAAAAAAACCTGTCGGGAGTAGGGCCACGACATCACCTCCATACAAAATGTTTAACAACCACTCTTCTTGTTCGGGCTTCAGTTTGCAAATGCCAGGAATATTCTCCACAACAGAGCGAATTGCATCCCGTATCTCCGTATCCGCGGTCGTTTTCGATTTCCCTAACCTAAAATGCAATCTTTAACTCGGTGCTTAGCGTCTACGTCACGGCTCTCAGCCCGCCCTCTGTTCGTCGATTGGCCGGCTGTTTTCAGGCCGGAGGAAAACTGAGAGACATGTCGCTATCTCAGACTGAGTACAGAAGCGAACTGAAATTGAGCGGAAGTACGAAGTCTGACGTAGTCAGGCTACTGTTTGCACACTCTGACCAAAGCAATGGACCAGGGCCTACTGAACTTTCCTCCACCTGAGCCTTTGCCCAGCTCTGACATAATGATGCCCTACATGTTTCCGATTCTTCCTTTCGACTTCGGTTCTTTTCGATTCTCGATTCCGATTCTTTGAGGGGTGGAGTCAAAACATGTCACAAGCTCATTTCACAGAGGAACATTTTATTTTGATTTTAGTTTTGGGAGCTGCAGCCCATGTGGGAGAAAATTAGGAATGCCTCTGCACCAGACCAAAAAACAGATTTGCAGAACTTGCACTCTGGTCTGTACTCTCTGGACATGTATAGGCTAAAAAGTAATATTAGGATTGCTACTAGCGTGGGGAATTTGCATAATGCTACATTCATCTACGAGGGAAAAAATAATTTCAGTAATGTTGTTGTTGTTCACCACAATTAGCAGATTGGTCAAGTGCTTTGTTACACTACAATCACTTACCTGATTGTGACGTGGTAACGTTACGTTGGTTAGCGCAGGGTTGCCCGAGGAGGACGAGACAGTGGACCTGCGCAGCACGTCGAACACACTACACTCCTTGTTAATTTGTACACCATGCAGGCATAGACGTAATTTGCGGGGGACATGTCCCCACCACTTTTTCGTTGATATTGTCCTCAACAAAAACATCTCGCGGCACGGACGTACCAATACAAATAAATAAATCATCTCCAGTTAACTAGCAGAGCATTAATTTAGTTCTTTTGTTAAATAGAATGCGATCTACTGCTAAAATGTGTTGTTTTTTAAATCAAGTGATCAAAGTGCTCGTTGCGCTTCAATCCGTTGCGGAGACTCTATATTCGTTCCAGTGAAATCACAAAACAAATTGCACACTAACGTTTCCCTGCTTGATATACAACCACTGATGAACATATTCGGTTTTGATGAGAAAAAAAATACTATACCAGTACAGATTAGAACCCAGAACCTGTGACACGCGTGGCAAAAATTCTGCCACTGGACCAATTACGTACACACGCAAACCATATATGTATATTTATTCAAGTGAAATGAAAATCACTGTGCCGACCCAGGTTTTTTGAGGTGAAATAAAGCCACACTTTTGAGTGCCGCTTACTGTGCTCCATGGCTGCAACAGAACAAGCGGGCGAGGCGAGCACTTCCAGAAATCCGGTGGCCACTATGGACCAAAACTTGCACGTTTGGAACCGATGATCGGAATCGAAAACATTTTTCTAAACGATTCCAATGGCATTGTTATTTTTTAAACGGTTCCAAGTCGGAACCGGTTCTCGATAGGGCTGCAACTAACGACTATTTTAATAGTCGACTAGTCACCGACTATTGAAACGATTAGTCGACTAATCGAATAATTATTAAATTTTTCTAAAATTTAGCATGAGATTGCTTTAATTCTGTGGAAAATGATAGTAAACACAAGAAAGAAGGGGGTACTTTAATGAAAAATGTATATTTTATTGAACTTTGCTGCTGATAGGCCGATTCATACTAAAAGTAAATAAACATGCCCTGTCTAAAACCAATTAGGCACAGTGCTCGGTCAGTATAGACATAAATACATAAATAAAGACATTTTTAAGAATCATTTTTATAAAGGACAGGCACATTTGTTTTATAAGAAAAAATAAATTAAAATCAAGTAAACATTTTCTTCCTGTAAACCAGGGGCAGGCACATTAGCAGCAATAAAACTAAAACTTTTTTTTTTTTTTTTTACCGAAAATACGCTTATAAAATGTATAATGTACATCCAAAACAAAATGTATTGGCTTCCATGTTATTTAAATCTTACCGAGGCGAGTCAAACAAGTTTCATTCAACTGTCCGACGTGCTTTCTCTTTAAATGTTCGTGCATCACCGAGGTGCTGCCGTGATACGCAAGGACTGCTTTGCAAACCATGCAGGTAATCTTTTTATTCGCCGTATCCAGGCTAAAATGCTCCCAAACTTTAGATGTTTTGGTACGCGCAGCTGCTGCGTTGGACGCCGCCATTTCTGTATGTTATCGTTCAGCAGAGAAGCTAATGCGCATGTGCGACTCTCGGCAGAGATTGTAACGTTAATGAAGAGATGCCTCGGTCGGAAAAAACATGTCTGGCGACAACTTCGACAATGAAATTCATTGTCGACTATTTCTATTATCGATTTTTTCGCCAACGTCGACGAATCGTTGCAGCCCTAGTTCTCGATGCCCAACCCTAGTGATGAGGAATATCTCTTTTTAGACAGTCACTGGACGGGATATTCTTGTAAAAAGAATCCAAAATATGTCAAGTTTTTGAAAGTCTGTGATTAACACAAGCTTAAGATGTAAACACATTATTTTCTACAACATTATCAGTAATACCTGCTTGTGATTTTGTTAAAGCTTTTACTTGTCTAGAATAAGGCGGTTGTAGAGAAGTGGGACTACAGAGGTTGTCAGTGGATATTAAACATCACATCCAAAAGGTAAACTACATCTACTCACTAGTTACTTTCACAACACAGACTGTAAAAAGACGGACAGCGCGTCTCAGCTTCTTCCACTGTAGAAAAATTAAGCCAAAGTTTCCCAGTAACGGTCGTTGCCGATTATGTCGTTCAGAGTCTGCGCAATTTCACAGCCTCGTTCTGTTTATAATCACACTTTTGCAAACAATTCTGACACAAAAATACAGGGAAAATGTTTTTAAATAAAGACTGAAAGAGTTGTCAAAAATACATGATCTCTGCAGCGCTGTATATAGACCTTATTCACAGCAGCGCCATCTTTCATTTTTTACAAGAATGAAAGCAAGGCCGTAAAGGATAGACATTCATCTCTTCAGTGTACTGTTATTTAATGTATTTTGGATTGTTCTGCTGATGAAACATTGCAAAAACATCTTTCAGAGGTTTCAATAGTCACAAAACTACAGACAATATGAGTTGTGGAAAATTATTAGTGATCTAGGAGCTTTATTCAGCTTTTCACAGCAGATGCCACTGAAAACACAGCAAGTCTTTCCCTCACAGCCTCGCTTTCATACCCGTCACAGCTAGGGCTGGGGCGGTATGGATTTTTTCTAACCGCGGTTCAAAAGCAAGATATTCCCGCGGTATAGCGGTAAACCGCTTTAAACGGGAAAGAGCCAGGCTGGAAGGAGATCCAGGAGGTGGTTAGAAGGGCAAGGGCAAACTCCGCTCCAGGGCCCAGTGGAGTACCGTATAAGGTTTATAAGAACTGTCCAAGACTGCTCCACAGACTCTGGAAGATCCTTAAGGTGAT